AAACTAAAAAGAAGTTGTTTGTTTGCAAAAAATTTTGAAAAATTTTCGAAAAAGCTTCTGAAATTTACCATACCAAAGTTTTCTAAGAAAAAATAGCCCATACATAACTCAAATCGTAGTAGTAGTTAGGTAAAAAGTTTGTGTACCGGCAAACTCGAGCTCCCAAAAAAATTGGGGCAGCAAAATTTTTTGAAATTTACCATCTTACCATCTCGTATACTAATATATAGTAAACCTATCTTGATACATTGAGTGTCTATTAGTAACAAAAAGAAAAATCCATACACTATCCTAATACATGATAGTTTCGGGTGCCGAAAATTTTTCTGAAACTTATCATCTCAAACCTCGTATCTTAAAACATGGCAAATCCTATACACTTAATACATAGGAAATCTATGCCCTTTCTAAATACATATGTAGCGGTCCCGGAAACCTTAAAACATTTAGGAACGCCGGCACGACTGCCCGTACCCACTTCGGCTCCAACATAAATACTCTTGACTCAATACAGAAGTACTCATCAAGCAGTATTCATAGCCTAGTGGTTTCAAAACGCTATACATGAAGTAAAACTGAAAATTTGAGCTTTTCGATGAGCGGAAATTTCAAAGAATACTTTCAGTGAGTACCCACAATTTTTTTTGGCTGGCCCATTTTCCTCCAGAGTTTTCAAAGTGTTTTTGTACAACGTTCCTTTGTATGAAAATTTGGCAATTGCATTCTTCGATTCGCCTGAAACGAGAGTTTTGAGATATGTCAGTTTGATATCATCACTCTGAGACTTTGCATCAATTGAACCCCAGAAGACGTTTTGAACCGGTGGCATGGGCAACTAAACCATTCAGGCCACTGCAACGGATTTCTTTCGAAAGAAGACAACTTCCACTCAGGCAATGGACCCTACTGGCTTAGTGTCAAAATTTTAGCTGGATCTTGAATAGTGATTGGTTTAAACCCGGAGAGGTGAGTGGCACAGGTTGTTTGAACATTCGATGGTTGTGTGACATGAGGTAGGATGGGATGGAGATGACTGTTGAAGGATCAACAGGATAACGTTAGTTGGTAAACTGGTAGGAAAAAAAAACAAGCAGCAGACGTATTTGGGATGATAGGTTGTTGATTAATGGGCATTGAGCTTGTCGGGATATTAGACTGATGGAAGCTACTCTGCGTCAAAGGGTTGTAGTTGTATATGTTGAGAGATACCTGTTCCTGCGGCTCGTATATACTATTTACATATGGATTCGCCCAGAAGACACTTGTATTTGACGTATGAGCGACGTTAACACTTGGTTGCATTTAATTGAAAGTTATGAATCATTGTCAAAGCTCAACTGAAAGGCTGTTCAAAACTTGAAAATGACAAGCAATCAGAAGCAGGGCTCAAACTGTCACTTCGAACAGGTGGCGTGGGCTCAACCATTTTTTGAACTGGCAATTGAGTTTTCACCCAAATTTCGTTTCTCTCTTGCTCTTTTTGGTTGTCCTGAACAGCCATCGCTAATTTCGACCTGCTCCGACGAAGTGTACCGATTTAAGAAACATCCCCTAGAAAATCAGCTTCTTTGATAGTTGCTTCAGCAGGTTTTTGACGGTTTTCCTTGACAACCACAACAAGTTCAAGTTGACTCTTCATCGATTGAAGCTGGATTTTTTGCTTCTTCAACCGAAGCTTAGCCTCTGTCTGGCGTTCAATTTCCTCGCGTCTAACTTTTGCGAGAGCTGCTTTTATTCGACGCTCGCTTGAAGTCATCAATGTATTTTAAAATTCTGTGAAATGGGTTTCTTGGATTAAACGGATTTGTTGGCGTCGGGGGTTGCGCAGTTGCAACATATTCGTCTTCAGTTTCAATTTCAAAGTAATATTCAGCTAGATCTAATACATCGTCCTTTTTTGAATGAAAACTTCTCGATAAAACTCCGAGATTTAATAGTTTTAGCAGCTTTATTTGTGTGTATAGACGAAGAATTAAATTATCTTTTTTCTCTAAAACTTGTTGTAAACATTTGCTAGCTTTTTCGATAGTTATTTCAAATTTAGCTGGTCTATTTTTCGCACTTATAGAATTTTTAAATTTGGCATGCTATTCAAGAAGAACTGTTATAAGTTCTTTCCGGCTAGTTAAGTTTTGTTTAGTTTTTGGGCGATTTCAGGTTCCAGTTTGAACTAGTTTTTTGCTAAAAACAAACCAATGTAGCGTTGATTGATGGATTTTTTCTAAATTCAAGTCAACTAGCTGCCTTGTTCCGAACTATACGGTCTTTGCTAGATATTTACGGCTCTCGATGTCTACGAAACAGATGGACAACAAACTACAAGACTTAACATAAAGATGAAATTAATTTTCATAAAACATAAGATTTGTAATGTCCAACAAACATTCCAGATTTTTCGACTGTCGTCAATTGTTAATACAATGTTTATCTACTTTTATTTACCTTATGCCTGGTCGACGGCTTTTAATTTTTTTTGATAAGTTCAGACCAATTGGGGGGAGAGGAAACAGTGACGAAAGATTCTTAAAACTTAGATAGCTAAAAATGCCGCCGGATGTTGAATTAGTTTATGTTTACGAAATAAATTTTCGTCGTTGGCTTTTGCTTTGGAGATTGTATGTCTGGTCACAATAAATTTTAAAATTCTTATTTCAACTAAATGTCCATAAATTTTCGAATTTTTATCACGTTTTACGTACGCCATTGGCTGCTATTTTGTTTTTGTATCCTTTTAACTTTTCTTCTAAATTCTCTGGTGTAAGTGGGCTATATAGTAAGTGTAAGTGTTTGATCTAAGCTTGCTCAAACAATTATTTATAACATTAGGCCAACATAAAATTTTTCTCTTTTTCAAACTTTTTGAGGAATTGTTTAAAAGATATTGAACACCCTTTTGTCGGTTATTTCCGTTAAAATTAAAACTTAAGCATGCAACTGTTTCAAATGTGTCTTCATGGCGTTTTTGTAGAGTTATTAGTATTACATTTAGGGAGTGACGTAAAGCATTTGCAAAAGTATTTACACCATTGGTAGGAAATTTTCAATGGCGGCCAATGAGTGGTTGTTTTGTTGTGAAGTCGTCAAAAGTAGGTGAAAGAAAAAAAACGAGAAAAATATAAATATTTGAACCTTTATCTGAGTGTTTTTGAGGTTCAAGTAAGATTTAGGTTTGGTATTATCTAAGTTAACGCGTACGATTTATCGGTTAAACTGCACGGTGTTACGGCGAAACGGTAGTATGCTGCCTAAAACCGGGTGAGCCAAACAATTTTTTTAAATTATCCGACCACTGGAGGAAACCGAGGTAAGCATTCACTCAAAAACCTTGATCACACAATTGACACTTTCAACGAAGAAAGAGGCAGGAAGAAAACGGCGTTTCCGTCTTTTTTTCCACAGTTAACCAAAAAAATACTCAAAGAGTTTGGGAAAAATTGGTTCAATTGTTTTTCGAAAACTTTTTTTTGGAAAATTTTTTTGAGAGTTTTTTCGCAAATTCTTTTCACTGGGTTCAACATTCTACTAGTGTAAAAAGGCACTGTGTAAAAAAAACTAGGATAAGGCATCTAGTACGGTTTTAATCGGTTTCTTACACGATTGGCGCGACACCAAAATCTTGTGATTTTTGTTAAAACTCAAATAAAAACAGGAATCGACTTCTTTAAAAAAACTATCGTTTTCTCTATCTGAGAATTGGTAAAAGGCAAGTCTTTGCAAATTACGTTGCACGGAAATAGCAACGAAATTAAGCGTATCAGGTAAAAAATGGCGGTGATCATGCGCTGATTTAGTGATTTATGATTTTTTACAATAAAATTATTTTCAATTCACCCAGTTGAATCAACAGAAACTCAAGTGCAAACCAATTCTGAACCGACTAAATATTAGCATTTCAAGTTCTCCCAGGTTTATTTGAGCTTTTTAAGGGCACGATCTGGGCGGGATTAGAACTTACGCCGAATCCGCCGGAACAAACTGCGGACTGAAAGAGCAATTGATCAAAACTTCCCGCTATCAAAGTATCGATATTTGCTTCCAATATCTAACCAATCTAAACCAGCTCCGAAAAGGCCATATTTCTTCGTCTGCTCTTCGTTTTTCAATCTGCTTGCAAAATTAGGTAACAGCCGAGTTTAGTACAGTTTTCACACTGATTATTTCAACTCATGAACATTTTACTCAGCCTATTCGAGAAAAGTTACTCCAATGCAAAACTTAAAGGAGATAAAATCTGGCATTTTCAGACCAAGGTTACCTTTGTAAGTCATTAAAACCAAATGGAAATATTGATAATTTCATGCAGGTTAGTTTTGATCATTTGCTCCTTGCCTATGTAAAATTTGCCAAAAATCTAAGTAAATCGTGTCCAAAGGGGACATTAAAAATGCATTTTTGAGATTAAAAAACCTTATTTGCGCTTAATTTTGTCCATTTGTGTAGTTCTGAGTTTACTGTGAGATACTTTTTCATACAGTTTTTACTCTAGTCGCGATTATATGTAAGATTATCCCCCTCAGCTTATGTAGTTTCTTTTATGTGACAAAATTCTTGACTTTTATGCATCTGGAGAAAACACAACACTACTTAGCAAAACACAAAAAAAATGCTTATCACTTAGTTTTCATAAATTAAAAAATGCTATCGTGAGCTTTTTTATAATTTTCTGTAAACTTGTATGATCAGCATTTTGCCATGTTTGAAAATTGGATGACAAGACGTTTTGGTGGCTCTTTTTCCTTTCCCCCCCACCTGCAATTTTTTTACATGTAAATTTGTTGACGACATTGTCTGATTGTATGAAAAACTACATACAGACTAATAAGGCCACGACAAACATATTTGGTCTTCATACTCAACCTCGTGAAACCACTCGTTACACTAATATATTAAAGCTCGTGTGATGTGGTGGAGGGGGGGGGGGGGGTTGGAAGGAAAAAGAGCCGTTTTGGTCAACCCAGGGTGACATTGAAGACGACGAAGAATAGATAGCACTCACTCACCGAACTCATCAAGACAGTGTGCGGCCGTGAGAACGTATCTGGAGCTGATGATTGTTCCCCCGCAAATTCCTCTAGGGCCATTGTAGTCCGCGATCATCTCCAGCTGCACGTAGTAGGGTCTGTTTGGGGCATCATACCCGTTGATTATCGATCGAGTTTCACTCGAAAAATTGCACAATATCTCCGACATGAAGCTTGTCAAAAATATCGTTAGAGAAACACAAACTATAGTCAAATTCATTTCGAACCGTCCAGTTTTTGAAAAAATGAAACCTTTATGCGGCTCTTTTTGTTTCCCCCATCTGCAAAGTTTTACAAATAAAAATTTTGTGCACATCAATCGATTGTTATGAAAAGTAGCACACGGAACGATAAAGCCCTAAAAAAATATTTGGTCTTCATAATAAACCTTGTAAAACCACTCGTTACATATAAAATTGATGCTCGTGTGAGGCGGAGGGGGAAATAAAAAGAGCCCTTTTTGCGACTGATTTCTTTGATTTTATGTCAGAAAATAAACATGCCTTGACATTTGCCGCCTTTATCTCTTTGCGCGTAATCTATCAACCGGGAAAACTATCAAAAATTGCGGTTTGCCAATTAAGTTCGAAGTTTAGAATCATTGTTTTGACTTCGAGTGTATTGATTTCAATATTTATGTTTCAGTCAAATTTTGCAAAGAACCTACAAAAAAATGGGCCTTTTCCAGTCCCCCCTTTGATTTTTTTTTCTAAAATTCAATATATGGAAATCAGGCTGTTTTCCTTTTCCCCCCACCTGCAAATTTTTACATGTAAATTTGTTGACTACATTGTCCGATTGTTATGAAAATTTACATACAGACTAATAAGGCCACGACAAACATATTTGGTCTTCATACTCCACCTAGTAAAATCACTCGTTACACTGATACATTGAAGGTCGTGTGAGGTGGGGGGGGGGGGGGGGGGGAAGGAAAAAGAGCCCATTTTTTACAATCTATCTTACATGCAAAATGCCGTGTGAACAACGCTTAAACAGCTTAATTTTGTAATTTTCCGAGGGGGGTGGGAAAGTGGAAAAGAGCCAAAAATTGATCAAACTTGACAAAAAGGTAAAAAAAACTGCGGGTTGCAAATAAAGATCAATTTTTGCAATTCCTGTTTTGAAATTGATTCACACAATCGATCTTAGTCCATCCTTCAAAAAAAGTGGATACATCACTTTTAACGAGTTTTGATGAAGCTGTAAATCAAAACCGAGGCGTTTCAGCTCTTTTTGCCCCCTCCCTGCCCAAGTTTTCAACAAGTTATTTTTTGTTCTTCTTTTGCTCACATTCCCTGGTCAATTCTTGCAGAAATTGGCGTGCAGACTAATTAGGTTATGGCAAAAACATTTGGTTTCCAGTTTTCACCTCGTAAAACACCTCTTTACACCATATAAATGAGTGAGGTGGGGGAAATAAAAAAGATCCTGTGTTTGTCAACTGATATTGACCTCCCACACCGAGGTTTTGTTTTATGATCAGACTATTGTAATCGAAATTGGAAGTTTCCCTTACCGCTACGAACAAAATTAGAAAGATAAAACCTTGTCCAATCTAAAATTTTGATTGCAGAATTAAGCTTGGCATGATTTTAAGTGTGGAATTCATTCGACTGCCGCCTCCACCGTTAAACCTGAGCAGGATTTTTACGGGTGGATTTACAAGAATGGAAGAAGACCAGATGTGCTCTAAATATGCTCTAGCGCAGACACCAAAATTTCTGTCCGGACTACAAAATCATACAGTTTTGCCATATAAAATAATTCCCCAAAAGAATCGAGATAACAAAAGGAAATCATAACAACATATCACTGCAACCTTATGACTTTATTTGGTTCAGTTATTAGCATCAAAAAATGACCATGATGAAAGATCAATTATTCTGGAAGCAAAAAAAAACATTTAGGCTAGTTTACTTTTAAAAAAAATTTTTGAGCCAAGGCATTTTTGAAAAAAAAAATTTCTCAGCTATTTGTCAAACTAACTCCCCTTCCCCACCATTTTTGAACTCCTGAAATTTAGTGATCGGAGGCTATTTAACGTTTCATAATGATAGTGGCAATTTGGAAGAAGATCAATGGTAGCCACTTGATGTTTAAGTAGAACAGAGAGTACCCTAGTTGATCATTGGAGGCTATAATGCAAGATTTTGCAAGAATCATGCTAGATTTCGGTAAAAACAATGCATCTCTTTAAACGATAAAGATAACTGCTTTTAAACATTCTCTGGCTTAAAGCAATATCTTTTAACATATGTTTTTTGCGAGGTAAACAATTTTACAGCGGCGAAGACAACCTCTGTAGCGTTTTTGTAGAGAGCTTAGTGGTAACTTAAACAGATACATAAATGAGAGAGCGAGAAAATTATAACTGCATAAGAAGATGAACATAATAAATTTTCGTGTATATGTGAACACAACTGAAAAAATTATACCAGCTATTGACTCTATTTATCAAAACTTTGACATAAAAATCAACTATTCCAATAAAAAATTGTCTGAAACTTCTTACATTACGAACGCAAAAATTGAGCATAAAAATCAAAACTTCTGAAACTTTTTCAACCTAATTTTCGTACAAACTCATACTCAGAATTGTTTGTACCATAATCAAAATAGATCTCAATAATGTTTTTTTTTGGCGCTCAGATCAAATTTTTCGGGCGCTGGGAAAGATTTTCGTTTTACGTTATCTTGCGAGAACCTAAAAAAAATCTTCGCACTCTTGCAGGATCCTGTTATATAGACTCGATCTGAAAAAGTTTTGCGAGATAACTCACAATTGCAAGGATCTTGCTAGACCTTACTCGATAACTTTACTTTATTGACTAGGGTGCCGGTCATGTTTATCAATATCAGTCTTTCTAAAAAGAAAAAAAACAAAGTTTACTTTTGTCTAATTAAGTTTCCTAGTCTGATTTTTGACCGACCGGTATAAATACGCTTTTGCTATATAAATAAAAAAAAGTTTCAAAGAATTTTAAATCAAAAATTATAAAATTCTTCCATATAGTCAGAGCATTTTCTCAAATTGAAAAGATTTCCGCTATTTGCTAAAGTTCCACTGTTAAAGATCATACACTGAGTCATCATTACACCGCCATCGACAACAAGTTGGTTTTGCTCAAATTTCACCGTGTTATTCTATTACGTAGGCGTAGTCAAAATGTTTGTCTAAAAAATGAGTGAATTTTTTGCGTATTTGGTTTAACTTTTAATTATTGGTTATATCATTCTGACTGTCACTAAAATCAGGAAAAAAGGCAAACACAAGAGAAAACCGCAAAAACAGGTGCATCAATTAATTAATTCGGTCTGCCAAAATGCACTTTAAAATTTGTTAGAATAAAAGTTTTTTCTTCTTGTATATTACACAGTTCACAGTAATTTTTAAGGTTTAGAAAATTTTCCAATTTCGAGGTGGCTAGAAATGTGTTCTGATCCTTTCCAGTATTTTGATTGAACTTTAAATTACTGAATTCAGAACGTGTTGTTGATAAAAAAAGTCATTTTCGAATTTCAGAGCAAAGTAAAAAATAGAAAAAAAAGGATAAGTTTGGGTTCTTAAGTTCTATCCTAAAAACCATAATAGTCATAAGTAGTATATGTGTGAGCCGATCAGGGTGGGGGGTTTGGATGAAGACTTCTAGTTTCAAGATAGGGTAAAGAGCATCCGGTTTGCAAGCTATGTATTGGCATATGGAATAGAATTCCTATGTATTAAGATAACTTATAGTTTTCCCACTGTATTAAGATAGGAAGTGGTAAGGTTTCAGTGTGATAGTAGGAGAATGGTAAGAAAAATGGTCTTTTTTTGGTTTTTAGTTTTTTCGCAAAAAAATGCGCGCGCGTTATCTAAACGGTGAATATCAGTATTACGTCTAGATTGTGGAATCAAGGTATTTTGTTTTTCGGTTCATGGTAAACCAATGGTAAGACCCACAAAAACTTGGAACTTTCATCAAAAAATTTGAAAATTTTTCAAAAAACTTCAAAACACGACAAGATTTGATAAAATTTGACCTTTTAATCATTTTTTTAGATAATTTTAGTTTTTAAACAGTACTGTATCTATCTTAAATTTTGCTGAAGTCCACTGAAATTTCAAAAATTGAGTTTTAAGAGAAAAAAATAAACTACAGAGAAAGTATATAAATAATTGCATGGTATATAATTTTACTGCCGTACATTACAGGTTTAAAATACAACTTCAATGGCTTAGTATGAATTTCATCATTAAGTACTTCTCTTTTCGGGTAAAAGTAACTGGGTCCTTTTTAGGTTTGTTCATATGTTCCGACTAATTGATTGGACAGTCACATCATTTCAAAACAGCGAAATTCTTCTTTGATCAATCCAGGTTCTCGTTTATCAAGTTTTTCGTTAACAGCGCAGCATGTACGATTTAAAAAATTCTTCTTTGCATCATCTATAAATATGGCTTTACACTCATTTCGACTAATTTGTGTTCTTTGAGCTTTCTTCACAGGAAATGTACAATCGTCCCGGTTATCGTCTGCTAATGCTAGATACAAAGAGTCCGTGTCCATCTCCAAATCCTCGAATTTTTTCTCGTTGCAGTATTTGTGGAAGAAAATGTAGTATAACTCCAACGTTCCAAGTTTGGCATATTGAAGAATGAAAAAGCCTACAATCATTAGTTCTATATGTTCAAATGTTGACTTCAACAGTTCTACTTCTTTTATGTCCTTTTTCACAACACTCAAATGCTTGAAAAATTTCTAGTTTATTGCTTTGTGTGTCTTCTCATGGCCGAGATACCTGATTATTGGGTGTCTAGATCCTTCCATAATTTGATAACTGTACGAGTTGCTACCGAAAAGCTTCATGGTCTCAGCAACAACTCAGACTCATGTGGATTATCGTCTCCTTCTCGTCGAGCATCAACAACAGCTTGAATAAAGTTGTTGAAACAATTACTTGGTGTGTACTCAGCAAACCGATATGTTTTTGTACATTGAAGTCCAAGACACACATAGAAGTTCAGAATGGGTGTGATCATTGAGTCATTTTCCCAATTAAAGCTTGAGAACAACATTCGTTGAGAGTTTTTCAACAACTAAATTTCTTTGGCATAGTTTTTCTTGTGATTTTCAATTTCAATTTGGCAGACGCCAAAATTTTAATTTTTGGAGGAAAATTGGA